TGAGAGAAAAGAAAACAGGTTGGCTCAGCGCCAAGCGCGGTCGCTTGGACACGCCTCATCCGCAGCGAACCAGGGTATGAGTTGTACTGTTTAGCCATATACCTACTTACGAGATGATGTCGACTTATTAATATTTCCAGTTAATTTCTGATTAGTTTAATCAAAGAAAGTTTTTTACTATTTTTTTTACACATCTTGATTCAAGACCAGTTTCGCTGGTACTCATGAGCGTAGATTGGAGCGATACGGTTGGAAGGGCAAAGCCAGGTTCCAGCAATCTGCTAAAGCCACCAGATTCTCCGTGGGTAGAACCACGACTGATGGAAAACTCAGTGGACCGGAAGGTGTTTCAGAGACATTTTTGTCAATAGCAAATTGCGGGTGATAATGCCCAAGCACGAGTTTGCAAGTGATTAACAAGTGAAGGCAGAATCGCACAAATCCGTTGAAAAGGTCACAGATGAGACTCGTATCATTGAGAGCAATGGACGAGCGAGCAATTGAGCGCGTAAACGCGCAGGTGAGAGCGGTTAGCGATAGGGTGTGTGGTCCGGCCACACACAAGCGAGAGCGAGAAAATCGATCGCAACGCACTCAAAATTGGATCAGAAGTAGGCAGGACTTTTGAAAAATGCGAGCTCCCAGCGCCCTTGCCATGCACCTCCAAGTGGCAAACCCCATGAGACTTGGGCTCCCTTCACTCCGAAAGGGTTGCAGACGGATGGGGTGTGCACTTGAGGACAAACGTACACTCACCTCCGGGCCTTGGTTCCTTGCCGTGGACAAGGAAAGTAGCCGCAGTAACGTGCCATTATCTCCGGGTAAAATTCACTGGAGCGGGACTGAAGAGTAGTGACATTTCAGGACGGTTTCTATACTCCGCCACGCTGCGGCACAGAAAACCACACGCCCAACCATTTGTTAGATGCACTGTTCAGCGTTTTGTGCTTTTATTTTTGTACATTCATTGCTGATTGAAAACTCATTCTCCCTTGCGTCTCAGTAGTACATCCTGAAGAGAATTTTTTGCGCTATCTGATGGTATAATTGCCGTTTCACCATTGCTTGATAAACCCCCTTTTCCCAAGACTTTTTGAAGCATGTCAAAAGAGCAACTTCGGACGATATTTTTCTTCAACTACAAATTGGGTCAATCCGCAGTCGAGACAGCTCGACAAATTAACCAGGTGTGGGGCCCAATAGTGTTGGAGAAAGCACCGTGCGACAATGGTTCGACAAATTTCGTTCTGGAGATTTCAGCCTTGAAGATGAACCTCGTAGCGGTCGACCTAAAGCAATACCTGACGAGGATTTGAAGGCATTTGTGGAGGCTGACCCATCCCAAACAGTTCGAGAGATTGCAGAAAAGCTAGGCGTTGGCAAATCCACTGTTGCGGATGGTCTGAAACGCATTGGGAAGGTGAAAAAACTCGACAAGTGGGTGCCCCACAATTTGAGTGACCGGCAGAAATTGGCACGTCTCGAGGTTTCTTCTTCACTGCTTTTGCGCAACAGAAACGACCCGTTTTTGGACCGAATTGTCACCTGTGATGAAAAGTGGATCATGTATGATAACAGGAGACGTTCCGGACAGTGGTTGGATGCCGACGAACCACCGAGGTAATTTTCAAAGCCGAACCCTCACGAAAAAAACCTGATAACACAGAAAGATCGTGGGTCACGGCTTGGTGGTCGATTCGGCTGGTGGGCGATCCACCGATGAACCTCCTTGTTGAGGCCTAATGGCAACCCATTCAAGACGCGATCGCCACAGCAGACAGAGCTACTGTAATGAGAATCCGAGCGAAGATGTACCAATGCGATAGGATTGCGGACTCCAGCGTGCAGGCCAGCACCACGTTTTCAATCTGATAGATGGGGCCGACAGTTCTTAACTTTTGGCAATGGACATGGACGCGCCGGGGCCCGATCACGTATGGCTTGAAATCACGTGATCCATTAGAGTTAGAGGAGCGGAATGTGGGCAGGTTGGAAGTTCTACGGCCTGCACTCCATGCCATGATATTCTCGCCGCAGACTTTCACCAAGCTCCGACGGACTGTGCTACGGCGCGCAGTTTTTCAATACACTGTCAGAACTCCTGCTTGAGGGATACTCATCAAAATTCGGGTATCCATGGGACGCGGCGCAACAAAAGGCGCGTTCGTGAAATTGCGTCGGACTGCACGGCGCCGGCAGGTCTTTGGTCGGTGCTGTTTGAGGGGCGAAATTAAGGCGGATAGGTGAGCCGAAAAGGGCGCTTGATATGTCGAACGGGTGCTCACGTGCGATGAAATGGGCGCGATGAGTATTGTTACTTATAGAGTTATGATCGTTCAATTGGTGAAACATCCAAAAACGTCGAGAACTTGTCCTGCGTACACCCTAACTGTCTCGGCGCTGCCTCGGTCACCAGACCTGATTTCAATTGTTAAGAATTTAGATGACCATATCATAAGCATAGTGTATGAAGACGCACCACAAACAGCTAAACAGGTCCACAAATACACTTATCCAACAGAAATTTATGTATAAAGTACCTTTAGGTGTAATCATCCACACCTTCTATATAGGAGATGTATACAATACAGGCATTTCAAAACACAAATAAAACATTTATCATAGTCCATTTTATATACTAAATATTATTTTAGCGCTTATAAGACGCCGACAACTAAAACCTATAAGTGAGGCAAAACCGGTTGATGACGAAAGTTATATAAATCTATTGACGGGCCGTAACATGTAAGTGATCCTTGTCGAGAAGTGCGAAATACGCATCAAAATATGGCAACCACAAATACGTCATTCCGAATACGTGGCCGTGACGATCTGATAGGCGATTGCCTCAAAATAGCGCACTTCTGCGGGGACCGCTTATCTATTAGCTCAAATTACTCGTTTGGCCGAATCTTATCCAAAGGTCATCCAGCTGCACCTTGATATTGATGGTGGAACCCGTCGAGGTGTCGCCACTGGAGCCATGATATTCACCGAACCACCATTTACTGCAAGTACAATTTCGATTGAAAAATTGGTGGAAATGAAAAAAAGAATCTGCAGAGCTGTACTAGGTTCCAAGAAAAATCGTGTTGCGAACATTGAAAACGAATGAGCAAGAGGCAGTTTGTGGGTTGCTTCATAAAAAGACAGCTCAAAGACAATTGTGTGCGTGGACAGACTAGTGTGAATGACGTACTCGTGTCCCCCCTTGCTTGGCGTCTGCCTCGGCGCCACCATCCAATGAGCCTTTCATGAACGCATCAAGGTGCAACGTGCCGCGGACGTGGCCGGATGAAGCCCTACCGCAAACCGCCGCCCGCCCTACCAGATGCCGCCCAGTCCACATGGCAACGCCTGTTATTCTTGCCGCACTCGTGAATTAAATTCGGATAGAAAGAATATGTGCCGGCGTGTATATATGAATACATATGTGCTGCCGCATCTATTAGAGCGGTTATTGGTAAGACACCAACGCGAAACTCGTCCAAGAACACTCGTCCAATGCCGTGGCAAAAAGAAAGGCTTTCGGCCATGAATCTTGGCCGCTTAGATGTTTTTTTGCGTCGAACCTTGCCAAACTAATACAGCTTCTTGCCACTATGTTTGAGCAACGCACTACAATTATCGGTGGCATTAATGCTATTAAGAAGGATAGTTGCCGCAATAATAAATCATGTCACGTTCCCTTTCACTTCAACGCAACTTTCCTACATTACCAGGTAACCGCGAAATTGGTTTTCCGTGAGTATTCCGCACTAATCATATGGGTGTGGTTAGTTGGGAGATGGTCTTTTCCACTTGAGGAGAGGGAGAGCGCGGTGGTCCTATTAGGGCTCACTAATCCCCGATGAGTGAGGAGGGGAAAATTGGTCCGATGGAAATAGTTCATTTTTCACGTTCCAAACGAAATATGTACCCCTGCCCCGGCGCAGTTATGCTGTTCACCATGACTGATCAGAGGGCTGTCCCTCCTTTCTTTGTCGGATATTAGAGAAGGGGCTGGTCGTATCTTGGAACTTTTCTTATCGATGGATGCTCCCTGGGTCCAAGGAACTGCGCCAGTATTACAGGGTGTTTTCAATGATCTTGAATGTGTTTTCAGCT